GAGGGGACGGTGCGGTGTCACCTCACAGGTGCCGACGGGCTAGGATGCCCCATCTCGTGCTGGAGGCGGTATGTCCGCGGACAGCGACCCCTGGAGGAAAGCCTAATTACGGCCAAATCCCAGGGACATGACGCGTGCCGTCTGCGCTGTCTCTACCAGTCGGAGTGGGGCGCATATGGCGGGAGCTGCGTCAGCTGGGCATATTTGTCTCGGCTTTGGAGAAACTGAGGAGAACCTTTCCCAACACGCGCCCCTCGGTACACACGAATTGTGCACGCGGACAGGCTCAACCGTTCACGTCTGTTAAATCACCAGCCGAACACCGCGTACACGTTTTGCGGGTGTAAATGCGTGCACCCTGACACGGCCGGCCAGGGAAACTATCAGACACGTCGCCTCGGGGTAGCACTTAGTGGACGCGGAGACACAAGCGGGTACTTGGCCGCAGTCGCGACCGGGTGTAGCGTGCTTTTCGAGATCCATTTCGCGCAGAAGCGGGATAGACCTGACTTGATGGTTGCGAAAGGCCACGCCGTGATTGCAATCGTTGCAGCAGTCGTGGTCGGCTCGAAGTGTATAATGACAAAATTAAACGTAATGGACACCTATGAGCCGAGCTCGTAGGCCAACACTTCCGAGCCGTGGAACACCTTCCTGGGGGCCTTTCGCGAGTGCTTTCTAGCGACAAGCTGAAGAAATTACGAGAAGGCATCGTCACCAAGAATAGTTCAGGTTGTGCTCCGACCACGTCGGCCCCCCATTACGTCTGGGATGCGGCGACCGCTCCCCCCCCCCTCCTGGCGCTGTGAAAAAAAGCTCATCCCGAGGTGCATCGCCGACCACAGAGCCGCCATCCCCACAGTGCCTGGGAGGGATATCAGCGCTGTGCCCCTCTGAGTGGTGAGTAGTGCTGGTGAATAACAAACGTCAAATCAGAAAGGGGCAGAAAACTTTGCAATTTTGCTTTGACTTGCGACTGGATGTGGGTCTCGTTCTTATGAGCAGTCACGACGGTTGGGAAGATTCGCAGTGTTGCCGACCTGAACCCAACAGTTTTTGTAGAGAACGACCGCTTCCAACCTTCGGATACGTTGATCTAAATTCTAAATTATTGTTTATACGTGTGAAGGGTTTCAAAAGGTCTGTTTTGAGTGTGTGGAGAACAGTAGCTGCGGCATGAATGCGTTTTAATGTACGTGATCAAATTGAATATAAATATAATAAACTCTGGCAAGAGCAACAAATACCTAACTCAATATTTTGAAACTGTAACACGTGATTATTGAAGAAATTAAAAATTATGATTCGAGTGTGATTATGAAGGTACGCTCTCTACAATATAGAATGAAGGTACTTTCGAGAACATAGACCAATTAGCTGCAACTATTGAATAAAATCAGTATACTATTGTTCCCGGAAATAGATCAAACAAAATTAACTTAAATATTCAATATATGAAATCAATACTATTCAATTCACTTGCTGTATTCAATATGCTGTCCTGGAAACGTTCAAATTAACGGAATTGCTACTTGTCACAAAAAATACTCAATGTTCCACTAGCTAATTTAAACCGATGTTTTAATGTCGAAAATAAAACTAAACTGATGCTAATTTTTGACACAATCACCAATTGGTAATTTCTTAAGTTAAAATGTAAGTAACCATTTAAAATTCGTAATTTGCTTGATAGTCTTAGTAGCAAAATTCATTCACAAATTTACTTCCAGTACACCTGAAACAAGTAATAAATTTTAATTTGGACTTTTTTAAGTTATATCAGTTTTTAGTATGGCAGAAATTACAATATTACGTAACTATTTCCAATAACGCGAGAAAGTATGTGTTGTTGTAGCACCCCCTTTGTAGTTATTCTTTACCGAACACACCGGCAAAAACACCCCATGCCTTACTTATTGTAAAAGTGTATTCGCAGAAAAACGAAATTCATCACGTACGTTTACAACCACTAGCAATTTCTTGTAAAGGGACGCATGTATCAGACACTTTCTGGACATTGTGTGTACATGTACATACACTCGATAATCTTTGCATTTTAAAACAATCATCGAACTCAAACTCGCGATATTCACTTCACCAATTACATCATGTCGCTTGCTTCAAGTGTCAACTCACATCCACACGCATGGCAACTGCGGCCCATACGCATGCCGCTATGTTGACTGCTTTCGATTATAATTCGCTAAATAAAAATAAACAAATCGGCCGAGACCGACTACAATGTATATTACAATATTGCAGTTATCTTGAAAATAAAATGAATAAATGAATACAGATAGGAGATAATTCTATTTTAATACATTATTCATATGTAGTGTTTTACTATAAAACACTAATACTCTTTCTATAAAACGCTAATACGAGCAAGTAATAAATCAACTAGAGTTTAAAATCTTTCATTTAAAAAAATTATTGAGCAGAAAATTCAAATTGCTTTCTAAATAAAAACCCTTAGTGTTTTAAATGTATAGATATTAAATATACTTCCACAACAGCCAACACTTTTGCAGTAGTATTTTCTGAAGGGTTGAGAGTAACCATTTCCAGTGTATCTATGTTAAAATCATATCCTTCATTTTCAATACTTTTTTCTGAAGTTTAAATGTGTTTTCAATAAAATAATGAAATTTTAACAATACTTGCAATTGATAGAAACTTCATTAAATTCAATGATTCAGTGATTTAATTTCAATGTTACCCCACCTGGTTGCAGATCCAGGGGGAGGGGAGCCTAGAGGTTCCAAAGGCCTAGAGGAAACATTTGTTATCTTTTTTATTAGCCAAAATATATTTAAATATTTATGTTAGAATTAGGTAATTATTTAGAAAATAATCTTGTATAGTATCATATAAACACTATAATTATACAATATAATAACAAATATGTTTATTATTTAACAAAAATCTATGATATCCCCTCCTGAAAATAATCTGCTGGATCTGCCCCTAACCCCAACATAGAGTAAGAGAAAGAAGTATTGGAAATGAAAGCTTTATATCACAAATAAAATATGAAAATATATCATCACATTCAGATCACTTCAATTCGTTTATTCTTAAAAAATAGGATATTTAATTACATGTAAAAAAATGAAACTAAATGAACAATACATTTGAAGATTTTTTTAAAAATAAAAAATCATTACTGAATTACTATTTATAAAATACTGTAATAAAGGTATAGTATAATCATGACAAAAAGTAATAATAAATTAAAATAATCTCAAGACGTTATCCTTTGCAAATGAAGCTTGAAGTAATTGCTATTCTTGCTACACTGGAATTTAATTAATGAAGATAATACTAAGTATGATTGTTTACCAACAGAAGGTTTTGTAGAATGATATTTGTAGAATATGTTGATTCTTCTTTTAAATTTAATTTTTCTCATGAAATCAATTTTATTCAAATATCCCAAAAATGATAATTGAATACTACTAACTGAAGAAATATTGATCATGATATTAACAAGTTTCATTCAATGAAGCATTTCAAAAGTACAGTGAATGTAATAACTTGATACTGATTATTAATCCAACAAACTATGGCAGCAAGATGTATTAAAAATTCATCAAATTACTTTTAAAATTAAAAATGTTATTTTATTACTATCAAGGGTCATGCATGTTTTTCCTATTTCTAACTATATTTTTATGGCTCGTGCAGACATTATCTCATTTTCTTTTGTCCTACTCATCTTATTTCTTTCCTGATGGTTTGTTTTTGAGAATACACTTTTAAGAGATATAAAAATAACTGAGTTGGACTTAATCTGTTCTTCTCTATTTTCTCTCTCTGCTATAATTTTAATCCAGAGCCAATTATTTAATCCTTTTCTACTATTACCTACAATCTGCTCTCTTTTCCAAATTGTAATTATATAATTTTAATAACTATCATTGTGAACTAAACAAAAATATTTAAAGCATGAACAATGTTCAAAAATGTGTGTTTTATTTCATATTTTTATGTTCACAAATCCTTTTTATCTTTTAATTATATATTTTTCAATATGAATTCTAGTGCTTACTTTATTGTTTCTATTTACTTCACATCTTTTTGGTTGTTATTTCGTGCAAAATAACACATGAATTTTTAAGTATTATTGTCATTTTAAAGCTTGAACCTTTGCTGTATGAATTTTCTGTAGAATTCATGACCCATCATAGTTCATGTCATAAGCATTTTGATGTAAAACTGTTAAACGTAGGCCTAGATGAGTATCTTAAGGGACCCTAAGTACAACCAAACTATGGAACTTAAGTAATGAAAATTAATTTTAAAATAAAAATATATTATCTTTGCCATTTAATTCAATATTAAAATATTTTTTTACATATTGATGAACTAATGTAAACTTTTGTTTAAAAAATGATGAAAGGCCCCTACGTGGCGGGCGATCTGAGCATGTGCTTAGATTGCTCATATATTAATCCTCCCCAGATTAAAACATTACTAAATGGTTTCAAAATTTTGTTTCTTCTTCTTTAAATATAATTTATTAATTGGTGACATCCCTTTCATAGTGGCATCCAGTGTGAGTTTAACTTCCTTTCCCACCCCATCGCCATATGATGTCATTATTTCCCCAACTGTGAAATACGATATATGATATTTCATGATTACATAAGTTATCATTATCATCAATATCACTACACCTTTTTAAATATTAGAATTTATTTATAACATTTTTATCCTTGTACATTAAAGAGCTTCAATTTAAGACTTTATTTTCTGGAAGATCATAATTTCATTAGTTACTTTTCTTAAATATCGCCCCTTATTTCACTTATCAAATATGTTCCATTCTTCTGAAAATATTTGAAAAATCCCCTGAAATGTTTCTATTTTTGGATCTCGGTTCACTTTCGTTCCTCTCTCAAAGTTTACCTTAGGGAAAAGTAAATTTCATTCAATAAGAATGTTGGTTAAAACGTCAAAAGTCTAATGCTTTTAATGTTAATATTTCTTGAACTTACCCGTTCTGTTCTGGAATCTTTCGTGTCCTCTTAGTTGTTGCATCCGATAATGGGTCTCTTTCGTTAGTCTTGAACGATGTCCCTTATTAATGTTGGAAATAACACTCAGAATATCCTTTTTTGAATTTATAATCGTTGTTAGAACGTGATCCAAACACTCACAGATAAACTGATGCCATAATGAAGCTAACGAAGACAGACCACGTTCGATCTGCGGCGGCGACATCTATAGTATTTATCAAAGAACTCGGAATTTCAATTCAAGGTCCCGGTTTCCCACATCTGTGATAAATAGGAAGTAAATAACTTTAACCAGTTCGTGATATTCCTAAAAAAAACTCCGAGAACCCACAGAGTTCCAAGATTGGCTATTTCACCACTACATCTTTGATAGAAATGAATCCATGTTACAATATTTTAAGTGCGCAACTTCGAGCTTTGGAGTTGTAATTTTGAGTTTTTTTTCCTCTGGAGCTTTTATCCAACTAATAGCCGGTTAGCCTTTACGTCGACTAATGGGACGCTTATTCGACCGTACACTAGACATTAATACATTTGCGGGCTCCCATCGTACGGTATCAGCATAACGCGAGGCCCATGAGTGACAAGGGCAGTGCCGGATTCGCGGGGAGGGGGTGGAGGGGTGAAGGAGGGGGGGGGCATCCGTAGGGAGGCATCCATTCTCCTATCAATATCCAGGCGAATGCCCGAGCAGTACTTACCCTAACAAACGGGCAACGGATCGCGCGTGATCTTTCCTTCCTTTTCCTTATCCCATCCTCTCTCACAAACACTTACTAAGCACTGTATCAAACACATACCGGGAGACCGGTCGGGAGCGTAGAGCTCGTCCCGGCTAGGGCAGTGCCCCGCTGGTGGGAGATACGTGGTTAGGAAAAACCCCGCTAGATCGACGGTAGGTCGGAGCCGGATCTCACCATCCAAGGGAATATCACTGCCACCTCCCGTTCTAAAAACATGCACTACACTCACAAGATTAATAACCTTAGCAGTTAAAGGGCACGGAATCATTAACCGGTAAAAAATCTGAAGCAACTGTATAAAACTTCGTACTTTTTTGCATGGCCTGTGAAGATTATCTACTCGCTCCAAAGAAACAACAAATTTTCCAATAAAATACTTCAATTTTAATTCTTTTAAAGCAATTTTATTAGTCATTCGGTTCATTTAAATTATGATTTTTCTACATCCGATAAGGCCACAATGCGATGCGGCCGTACTAGTGAAAATACACCAGCCACTTGCAGATAATTTTAGGGTATCAATGAATGAAAACATATTCTGCATTAGGAAGAAAGAAACTGAAAAGTCCTGCTGTATTTGTAGAATGATCATTGTAATAAATAGTTTTTTATTTATATAAAATAGTTAATTTATATAAAATTTATATAAGGATCAAAGGATCTCGAGGTGGCTTAGTATCGGTTGGGTAGTATCTTAAGTTAACGGGGAGAACCCATGCCATTGCTGTCAAATCGTACATTCCATGTAACAACTGACTCTAGCGCCTGTAGATTTCTATTATAGTAGCGACACGAAAATTCTGTAATATTTTTTTTGATATTTTGGATTAGTTCTGCTTGATGAGTGAACAGGTGAAGTAAGATGATTACGGCTATGGTAAAAGAACATACCATATATTTACTTATATATACCTACTCGATAGTTATGACATTACCTGACTATTGAGAATACCTCTGATTGGAAGTTCGTGGATTGTATCCCAGACGGGTGCCAGAATAGTTTTTGTTGTTGTTGTTGAACATGGTGTTTCTGGCACCCGCTACGGTCAAGTTCGTAGTCTGTTTTGTCAGGTGCTTTCTATGATCACTTCCAGGAAAATCCAGGAACAGCATTCTTTAGCGGGGAGATGTTTAGCTTCACTATTCGCACGTTTTGATAAACTCTCCTATTACTATAGTAGTGATAGGAATAGGGTCGGGGAGGGTTACCATTTTACTAGCAATTAAATTTGCAATTCGTTTACCAATGCAAATGAGTTTTCTATTCGTATAACTCGGGAGCGAAAACGTCTAGCTTTTCAAATATTGCTAATCTCGCAGTTTTTAAAATTATTATTATTATTATTATTATTATTATTATTATTATTATTATTATTATTATTATTATTGATGTTTTGTTTTGTTTTTTGTTTCGCGAATCGGCCATCATGGGGCCACACATTACGTGCATTCCACCGGGACTCAGACTTGATTATCGGGGTAGGTGCTCGTTACTTTTTTATTTGAGGGGATCAGCATTTAATGCTGATTCCATTTTTACACCCAAGATTGTAAGCCCTGGGGGATGGGATGAAATGATGATGAGCGATAAAATAAACACCAACATACAAACATACGGTGACACACATTTATTATTATTATTATTATTATTATTATTATTATTATTATTATTATTATTATTATTATTAAAATATATACACGTTTCCTCTCGTGTGTTTATTATGTTGTTTTGATGGCGGTGGATTTATGGATGAACAAGTGGCGTAACGTTCGGGCCCGCAAGGCCCGCAATACGAGTAGGCCCGGGTAAAGAGGGCCTAGTTTTAAGAGATATTCTTTATTATTTAAGTTACTAATACTAGTTGTGTTTCCTACACACTTTTATGAAGGGGGGCCGGATAAAAGTTTGCGGGTGGGCCCGCACTCATTTCGTTAGGCTAATGTGTACACTGTATACATGTATTTACTGGAAAATAAATTTCAATTATATTTATCCTTCAGCTAATAATAGTTAAAATGGAGAAACAATTATGGAACTCAAGAATACGTGCACAGATGGTACATTTCCCTCACACACCACATACACGTTTTACTGTTCTTTGACTCAATCAATCAAATCAAACGCGTGCGATATTCTTGTCCCTTCCAATGCAATTCCCCCTACCTCGGTTAGAATGTCCTTACGCCCTATGTGTGTGTGTGTGTGTGGGGGGGGGAGGAATACGCACGAATACGCAGAGAGTACGTTTCATCTGTGACCCATATTAACTGGTATACAACTGGTAAACGCGGGTGGAGATGAGGCCAATGACTAATAAATCCCAAAGTATTAAATGCGTCTGATAATAATATTATGATAAGATAACATCTTGAAGGAAGATTGTTTTCCCGGTTCATAAATAAAATTAAATATAGAATTTATAACATAATATTTTCTGACCGTACAACGATTCAGCGGCCGCTTTTATTTCATTATCAATTTATAGTGCAAATATTGTAATAAACGAATTGCATTTGCACCAACTTGTATCTCGCGCCCTCGCGCGTTTTTCATGTTATACACGATGCTACCTTTCCACCGTCTGTGGGGCAAAAAGGCAGATTCACTACGCCGGGAAACGCCGGTGGGCATGTGAAACTTTTGACACGAAACGAGATATGAAGTTGTCAAGATGACTATGTGGAACGTAGCAAATTGACGTACCGACCTTTGAGCAGTAAATGCGACAGTGCACTGTGTGTTTTGTAGCTGTATCATTTATTACAGTTAATTCCCTAATTTGTCTAACTTATTTGGTCATCTTACTGTAAAGTAGGCATAATTTTGTCCTTGCTTTCATTGTGAGGCAGTGAGGTTAAGGCACAGTGATTAGACAACTATAGGTGTGAGTTTCATACATCGCATTGAACTCATCGCATCAGCGCAAAAGAGACATTGAAGCGAAAGATAAATAATTGTTGCAGAGGCCTGAAACATGTTAGTTGGTGGACATGGGGAGTCCAACCCCAATACAACTTGGCTGCAAAGTCGGGGACTGTGGATAAGTTATGCCGTCGGCATGCTCACCCTTCACTTGATTCTTTTAAGTATTCCATTGTTAAGTGTGGCGGTGGCATGGACATTAACAAATATAATTCACAATACGGTATGTTGAGTTCACTAACTTACCGTTTGTGCAAGGAGGGTGTATTGTTTCTTAAACAGCAATATTTCTGCTCACTTTGTTAACTAGCATAATTTTATTTCTGTTACATGTGAATAAACTAATGGTAATGAGTTTGAAACAATTACTACTCCAGATAACCCAATTTAATAATTGTTAATTCATTGCATCTTTTGATTTGTGTAAAATATCTTGCAGAAACTCATTTTAAATCTGTTAAAAGTTGTTTTCATTGTGAATAACAGTGTCAAAAGGTCATTACAGAATCTCATTTTAAACCTGTCAAAGTTGTTTTTATTTGAATAACATATGATATCACAAGCATACTATGTTGTAAAAAACATATGATATCAAAAGCATACTTTGTTTTAAAATAATTTTAACGTGAGTAAAGTGAAGTAATTCTCTTTCTAACCTAATTACCATACAGAACTTGTGCATAAGTAGAAAATCTGTTACATTTCAAATTTAATAATTACTTTTCATGCACCATTAATGTTGGGCCTTTTTGTCATAGTGTCATTTCATCTTCCTCCATATCTTAAAGGGTGCCCCATGGATTCCTCAGGACCAAGGAGATTGCAGGGTATTAACACATTGGGAACAAATAGATTATGGTCAACAATTTACAGTGACACGCAAGTTCCTGACAATTGTTCCTATTGTTCTGTAAGTATAGATGTAGTACATTGGAGAATACTTTTTGCATTAATATAACTCATTTCTGAGTGTCTATGAAAAATGGAGTCTGGAAAGATAAGAAAATCAATTGTTTTATTAATGAATCATTTTATATTTTTATGCCAATAAATTGTCATATATTTGTATAAATTAACTTTTTTGTTGCAGGTTCTTTTTGACAAGTTTTTACACACGATATGCTACTGGTCATTTCATTGTTAACTTTGTGTCAATGATGTTGGTTGTACTTCCGAAGTTGCCTCAATTTCATAGAGTTCGTTTATTTGGGATTAATAAATATTAAACTACTGTCAAAGTGAAAAAATAGAGACTTGTTCCAAGACAACTTTCCCTCAAGCATTAAATGATAAGATGAAATCATCAGTGTTATGAAGATATTTAAGATAAAATCTTTTTAAAAAAAATAAGGGAGATTACTTTTGTGATGAGAGTTGTCAGTGTGTTACAAGTAGAATATTATTAATTTTTTTGAATGAAAAGCAGGATCTCTCAAAAAGTGAAGGTTATTTCTGTGATGATATTACATTTTTGAGAGAGATTTTTATTTCTTGGATCCTTGCAAATCCTTCCACTGAATTTAGATATAATTTTTCTGAATAAATGTAATATTTACACATGCTTCCATTTGTTTTGTCAGTAATCTTTGAGAAGGCAGGTTGTTTGTGTTAATGCAATTTAATTTTTGATGTGTAATTCTTGAAAACTATATTCTTTGAATCTCAAATGTGAATAGGCCGCTGTTGTGATGTAATAATTTAATTTCTAAATTCTGGAAACAAGGATTCAAAAAGAAAGCAAACTTGAAAAAGGTACATTGCAATGTAAATAAAGTTCAATAGTGTGTATAAATGTGACTCCCGAATACAAAAGATGATTGTGAAATTGTATGATAGAAAGGTTTAATGACTTGTTCCTATTATTCTCATTTGTTATATTTCAATACCTGACAGTTCCATTCCATTCATTTCTGAATGTGATCATTTTCATAAATAAATGTTTTGTTTACATATGCTGAATATTTGGTGTGTTTGCCTCATTCTTGTATGGTCGTATTGCACCTTAGCTAGACATCATAATATTATATATCTTGTAAAGCATTTTCACCTTTTTAAAAATATTGATGTCTGGTTAATGACTGTTTAAAGTATTCCATAATATCCTTTTAATTATCATTGTTCAGTTTTAAGTTATATTGAAATGCGCTATCTTAATGTTACCCAACCTTTTTACACACAAGGCATTTTACTGAATGCTTGTGACCATAAAATACACTGTCACTATGCAATATAGGTCCCATTGCCTTCAACAAAGGTGGGGTTTCTGTTCAAAAGCAATTTGAAGGTATTCTGTGTTAAAAACAAAGAGAATGTCTGTAACAAATTATACCGAAATATTTATTTGAAGAATAATCTTTATTACTGCTGCAACTGCATTGAGATAAAAAACCTAACAAAGAAATACACTGGCAGGACAGTTGAGAGAAGGAGCAGTTACAGCATGTCTGTAGCATCACCTGTGGTTTTGCACTTTTCGATCAGCTGAGCAGCTTGTCTTACCAGGGCCTGTAATATGAAAATGAATTCCTAAAATTTTGTTCTCGTACTACATTATGTAAAACTGACTTCAGTACAAAATAAATATATGAGAAATTGTGATGTTTCTTTAACATGATGCATTAGTTGTGTGTTTTTGTCACTTCTACATTACATGGTTTACAAACAAGTTCTTCCCAGTTCAAGGACTTCTGACTGCCCTTATGTTAATATACTTAACTGTGTTTCTCATCAAAGCAGAAAGATCATTAAAACTATTCAAAAAACCCTTTGAGGTTCTATGACTCAGGAAAGCTTAAATAGGTAGGTGGCCAATCCTACTATACCCTCTTAACTCCTTCCCCCTCTTCCACCAATTCTTTCTGTATCCCTGCAGAGGTTTGGCTCATATATAGTTATATTGAGAGAGAGAGAGAGATAAGTAGTTTGGTTCTGTAGTCAATAGAAAATGAAATAATAATTATTGAGTCACATATACTATTACAATTGTGTATGATGGGGAGAGCTAAGTTAAGTTACTGTATAGGACACAATACGTTAATTTCATAAAGTCGCTGATATTTAGGCTGAAATGAAATAAAGAAAGAAAATCTTAAAATCATAAGTTTAATAACTTATTTTTATTATGCGAAGGAAATTTTGACTTTCAGCATCATTTTTGTTTTATTAATATTACGTTAAATTTCCTTTTAGTGTTTTTTTTTTCTTCACATTTACTGTATGTAAATTACATACCTGTAAGAGTATAATTAACATAGTTAAATAATATTGAGCTATTTTAATTTGATGTTTTATAATTATCCATGCAGGGCAAGATTATTTTTATTTTGAGAAGTGTATGATTATTTGTTATGGCCTGTAGCCTTCAATAACACTTGCTCTGATCCTGTTAATCTTTTTGCAGTGATAAAGGAGTGCTAAACATTTTAGATAATTGAAAAACTAAATCAAACAATTAAAGTTACATTATTTGATGTATTGTTTTTCAAATTCATAAACCCAAAAATACAAACAAAAGAAAACGTATCTGTTTCGTCCACTCATTTGCATAGTATACATCCACTCCTACTTTGGTGCCAAGCACGCATATAGTCACAATTTAATTTTTTTTTATTGAGTTATGAAAGCATTTTATAACTTAACTAGCATTTCTCTTGAAAATGGACAAAATTTATTTTGGTGGGGTTATAGGTCCTTCAACTACCAAGTTCAGTGATGTTGTAATAAGTAGAATTATAGAGAAAGTGTGGAATGAGAAGCAGAAGAAATGGTGGACCCTGAGAAAAATCAGCCAAGAACTTATTTTATTCACCAGAAATTCCATATCGACAGGATTTCTTTTCCAGGCCAAGGTGGCAGCCATGCATCAGCCATGCACGTAGAGTCCCCTGCCTCTCGTCTGATATGCATTCAAATTTCTTAACCTATTGATTTTCAAAATGGACCATGCAATATGCTTTTGTATGCTATCTCCATCATTATCTGGCCTGAGTATTGAAGTACAAACACTAGTTAGATATTGCCTATATGTAGGATAGAGCGTTCTTGAATGTAATCAAATACCTACCTATTAAGTTAGGAATTTTCATACAGGCCAGGAAAAGACTAGTTTCCCACAATTAACTTGTATGATACCACTGTAGTAACTTGTATGATAATTACTTTATAAATTAGTGATACATCATAATCAAAATCATCATACTGCAGAATGAAAGGTCTATTCCTGGCCAAGCAGCAAGATTTAAAATGACATTAATACTTTGTGCATAAAAACTTACTTGAAACACAAAATTAGCCAAAATTAAAATTTGTTTTATGGTTGAAAATGTATATTGCTTATATATTTGTATTCATGGTTGCAAGTATAGCAGTGTAGTACAATAGACAATTATAGTTTCTAGTCAAAGTTTAAAGAGAAACAAAGCGATTAATTTATCCTGGTTGCATAGGCTTCCGCGGCCGGAGTTTATGTTGGCTGGGCTATCCGGGACAAGCCGCGTCGAAGTCATGGTGGCTAACGTTTCGGCCAGCGTATTGTGGCCTTCTTCAGAGCGTACTGCTGCAGTACGCTCTGAAGAAGGCCACAATACGCTGGCCGAAACGTTAGCCACCATGACTTCGACACGACTTGTCCCGGATAGCCCAGCCAACAGATTAATTTATCCTGTCAGTTTTGGCAAGTTTACTAGAATTGCCAATCAAATTACATTTATTTTTAATGAATATTCATAATTATTGGTTAAAATTTGTTCTATATATCATTTAAGTTATTATAATATTGTATTTCAGTATCAGATTTATTTTGAGTCAGTGGTTTCCATGAACGTCTTTGAAGTACAAAGATGAAATCAAGAGAAAATGCCTATTTAAAAATACATTAGATGGTTGTCATTACACGTAAAATAATTATCATTAAAAAAAATAATTTCAAGATGATTTTAATAACAAAATTATCCTCTAATAAATATTTGATGGTGCCTATGTTTTATTTGGTTTCGACAAAAATGTTTTATGATACAGTTTGTAGGATATTGTATAATTTCTAAAATTGGAATTATTTTTCTAAAGAACATAAAAGAAGTTTTTAGAGGAAAACTTGGATAAAGTCAGAAAAATACAGACGTTTCCTCCCCTCCCTCTCCCCCATGCTTCCTGAAGTTAGTACAGTGTGAGATATTGAAAACTTACATTTTAAGAAGTATCTGGATACGTACAACATACAAGAAGTTTTTTAAGACTTGTGTAACCTCTGGTTTTTAGTACTTGCCGACTGAACTTTCATTGCTGTCAAGAAAACCATGTAGGTCTTTGTAATATGCAAGAACTATTTCTTTGTGTTGTAGACTGGAGTCTACATTCGCTTCTTTAATTTCAAATTATAGTTTTTAAATGTAAGTAGCAAAATAACCATTTGGATTCTTTTGAGACTTTGCCTAATAATAAAAGCCACTTAAGATCCAATTGCCAACAAGTTAAAAAAGCTAAAAATAACCCAGGACACAATTGGATGTTATAAATTAGTAAATTGAAAGATTTTTAATAAATGAAATATTCTCAAAGTCTTCATTGAAAAGGACTCTAGGTCTGTTTAAGACAAACAGGGAGAAATTAGTTTTAAAATTTTTATTCAACAGTTTCTTAATATTAAAATGGAAGAGTGCAATGTTTAATACTGTGTGTGTATGAAATTGTGAACATAAAACTGCTAGTTTTCATTACTTTCTCCCATAAAATCTTCTATTACAATGTTTTTTTGTTTTTGCTTCACAATTGGTAAAAAATATTGGTTTCCAGCATTTTAAGAAATTTTAACATTTAAAATATTAATTTTATACAATCTTTGGTTATTAATATAAATGAACATCATTAAAATGTCCTATTATTTGAGGCAAAAAATTTAAATGTTACATTAATTAATTAAAAAGAACAATTTATAATTTGATAGAATTTTTCCTCTATCAATTCAACAAGTTTCCTTGTTTCAAGGAATAATAAATATCATTACAAATATATAATAATAATATCCGATAATAATGCATTCACAGAAAGCATGAATTTTGACTTCTCATTGTTCTTGTAAAATTGTGAATTGGAAGTTTTACAAGTAAGATTGAGCTTTTCAGGTATTTGCAACTTTAGCGACCAACTCTGCAGATGGTGGGCGGGCATCTGTTCCCCCATAAACTGAAGCTTTCGATGGTTTTCTTGATGGTCTTTCGTGACTATTCCAAATGCTGTATCCAAAGTAAATGGCAAATCCTGAAATAAATGTTTTTCTATTAATTTTATTATGATTAAATGAGGTTCCCTTATTGTGAAAAAATTAGACCTTCTGGTCTGAAGGCTTATCGAGTCATAACAGTAAGCTGGACTGTATCAATGAAGTGTAAATAGGTATTCTGTAAGCATCACAAAATTTACAAAAAATTTGAAATGGAGGTGTAGGTGAATTTGTGTGTGGGCATGGAGAGGGGGAATCCAGAATAAATTTTTGTCCCAACAAAATTCATTACAAGAAATAAATTTGGAACATTTTCATCAGAATGAAATTTCATTGAATGTTCTCACTGATACAAATAAAATCTGTAGACCGTACAATTTATGATATTTGTCCAAGTGTAATGGTTATATTAAGTAAAGAGTTCCAAAAATATATTTATTACCATGTTATTTGAGTTTCCAGGAGGGCCCTAAAGGGTATTAAACATTTTTTTGCGAATGTGGATGATCACTGATTGAATAGCTACAGAAATTTAAAATGGCATGTGTAAAAAAAAACAACAACAAAATAGATATTAATATAGTATTGTTCTACATTACAATAATTCGTTTTTAGATTGATGTCTTATGTTCAAACAGTGATATAGTATTTTACCATTTCCATTTTCAAGCAATGTTATGACAAAGGGACAATCTTATGAAATTTGAGTAGTGATAATTAAATTCATGTTCTAATTACCTAAATTTCTAAACTTAGCATAGCTCGCTTATTTCAGTAAATTTGCTTACCTATAACTATCCACACTGCAAATCGAATCCATGTTGCCTTATCCAGCATCATCATGAGAAATATATTAATGGCAATACTAACAGCTGGGAGAACTGGTACTAGAGGCACCTAAACAAAAATAAAAGAACAAATCGATAAATTTTAATTTTCACAAGGTGTTCAAATTAAAGAGAAACCAGATCATAAATGGATTGCCTCAGATATCTGCAAAGAGCAGACTCCTAAATAGACAGGTTTTTTGATCTCCAATATTCACAAGTAATTATCATACAAGATGTGCTTATTTGAATAAAACCAAAAGAAGATTAAAATAGTGCTTCACAAGAGTTTTTTAGGTTTCAGTTTCTGGCTGTGGATGTTAAGGTAATGTGTTTGTTCATATTAATAATCTGTTATTTTAATCATAATCCTAACTAATAACAATTTTTAGTCCACTAGAAGAAATTATCATTCCGTAAAATAATTTGTACCAGGTAATTTGTACTGAGGTTTACCAGACCAAATATCTGAAGCAGCATTGAAGTAAGTGTGCACTTAATGCGGAAAATATTTGTAGATGAAATTATTTTTTAAATAATTAAAAGAAACTTACAGAAGAATGATCTTTTTTTAATAACATTTGCATTTTGGTAGATCAGATGTTTTACGAACTACATATCCATCGGTCAGGGACATTTTCTGGCCGTGTTACAGTTTGCAACAACCGTTTTATTTCTTCACTAATTCATGAAAAATAAAAGATATTGTGAATTATAATTTATCCCATAGAATTTACTTTCTTTATGCAGCGATTCGTTTAAGGTTTGCAATTGTGTCCACAAGAAATTCGATTTCCGTGCGCGCGCAGCTTCACCAACTTTCGAGATGTCCTGCGGAGTAATTACTGTACATCCGTAACGTTTTGCCAATTCTCCTACAAACCTACTTCCGGACAGGACAAGGATAGGAGCGATCATTTAGAGCTGCGTTACGTTGCTGTCACTGTTTTCGCCATTGCCATAAATATGCAAGAATTCATAGAGAATTAATTGGTTCATTATTAATTTTGTATTTTAATCAGTTTGAGATATTACAACAATGCGTACAAATCTCAACATAAAACGTCTTTGATATTCTAACATAATTTAAAATCATTTTTTATGTTGGTGTCTGTCTATTTTAACTGTTCTAGGGTTCCATTTCAGTAGTGTGCCATTTTTTTATCTTCAACGACCGTCAAATGTACAAGAAAGCATCACTCCACAAATCACACGTTTTTATTGAAAAATCAACCAGCCACTACTTTCGCAAAGATGAAACAGTACTTTACAAAAAATGTATTTAAAAAAATAATATTAATATATTATACATATTTCGACTAATCGGATACGATTTCTGCAGTTTGCATAACGCAATCCAGAAGAACGCAATTTTTCAACATTTTAGCGAATTTGTAAACCTGGTTATTTTGGTTAAGTTAAAAAGGATACCTTGAACGTGAGGCGCTGGGAGTTGGTGGGCTGCAGGCAGATGATGAGCACGAAGAGCAGCATGGCGCAGCCGAACACCACCAACACCGCCAGGGGCGCCTCGGCCGCCTTGATGCCGTCCAGCGCGTGCACCACGCAAGCTGCCGCGCCGAAGCAGCATAAGCCTGCACACGCGTCCATCGCCCTTACAACTAGGCCACGCCCCTTCCGAGCCAACTTTTGCTATGGAATTTTACTAAATTTATTTCGAACAATTTCATATTAAAGGTATCACATCCGGTAGAATCTACCTTGAATTTCCAAAATTGAAGAAAACAAAGCAGCCTCCGGACATTAGCCTCCGCCCCCCCCCCCCGTTTATTCTCATACTTGGTACATCACTTAAGAATCCTGCTGATGTCATGCGAGAAGAAGAGCCCGCCCTATTAAATATTTGCTATTCACATGTTGCGTTATGGACAATCAACTTTGAATAAATACATAGAAGATACGTACGTCACTCGTTTCTTTTGGTGATCAGGCGGGAAATTTAAACTGAAGAGACTATCTAAAAGTAATTAATCGTAGTGGTAAAGTAATGTTGAGAGTTTCGCCGCAGCCTGGTCAATGAAATTCCACGAAGTGAGCGCACACCAGCTGATTAAAATTTATTTATATTCAGCCTGAAATAGCGGCTACCCGTACGACTCTAGTGAGCGGCGGTGTGCAGACCGTGCAGGGGCACAACTTTTGAAATAGCACATCACCCCAGTTACACCATTGTTCATGAGAGCGACAGCGACGAGCGTTAGGCAACGCCTATGGCCCTTATGGCTCGAGCGCACGAGGGAGATCGCGATTTCGATCGCTGTCGGGTGTCGGAGATTTGACTAATATGTTTAAAATTGGCGTTTTTTTTCGACGTCTGGAGGGGTCGATTCGAAATCCTACTTACTGAAGGCGAACATTGTGGATAAGTGGGCAACGTGTGGCGGCGAGGGGAGGTTTGCTTGTGTGGGGGTCGATGTACAGCAGTACACAGCGTTGGCGCAGTACAAAAGGTTGTGAGTATGAGCAGAGTGTCGGTCGCGGGAACGTGGGTGACGTGGATCGATGGACCGATGGATCGATTATTGATGGATACGGATGGATGCATTATGAGTGTGGATATAGTCATGCGAGAGTGGGTTCATGAGGTGTGGGTAGTTGGAGCATGTAGCCACGGAGTTGGGGTAGTGCTGTGCATGGGAATGGTTGCAGGCCAAATAGATAAGTGGTTTTCCGTAGGATCCAAGGGAATCGTTCGTTTCCAGGCGATTGCCCAAGTAGCACCCTAGAAAACCCAGCCAAGGCCCGAGGCAATCCTTCATTCCCTCTCCTGTCCCCAATTCCCAACCTTAGGGCCCAGCGATTCTCGCCCGGCCCATGTTCCTCTGCTACGCGTCGGAACGGCCACGGCCACGGCTTGAAGAAGAAAGAAGACTCACAGTAGAGGGCGGTGCACCAGGCGACGAGGGCGGCGGAGGCGCGCGTGGGGCGCGGCAGCGCGGGGCGGTTGGCGAGGCGGGCGGCGACGCGGGCGACGGCGGCGCAGGCGGCGCGCGCCCCCTTGTGGGGGCCTCCGGTCAGCGGCGGCGGCGCCCACGGCTGCTCGGGCTCCGGCTCCGCCTCCTCAGAGTACCTGCAACCGCACCGCGCACGCCTGCACTCGGGGGCCGCCAAGGCGCTTAAAACACACTGCACCCCAAAGGCCCATTCACAAGGCAAGCGTGAACATAAGCTTACCGCATAGACATAAGTGATAGACTGAAATGTTCACAATGTCTAACATAAACGTAAGCAAAATAAGAGTTTCTATTGGCTGTGAGACATTCTGGTTTACTATTGCTTGGATGTGAGAATCGATTTCGAGGTATCGACTGTGTCCACGGACCTTATGGCGTTAATTCTTTTGGCTTCGCTCCAATTTCGAATTTGAGTTACCGTTCTGTGATTGGTTCATTTTGTATGTCTTACTTAAGCACAAGCATAGAAGCTTCAAGCTTGCAAGCTTTTAAGTTAACGACTCACGTGTTATGCTTATGTGAACGAGCCCTCTTATGGACATAGTCCTAACTTTTATGTTAACGTCATGCTTATATTTAAGTTTGCATTGTAAATGGGCGATAATACCCGTACAGTTTGCGCAATTTATAGAAGAGCAAGGGTACGGAAATTGTGAATTTCTTTTGCCGACTGGAGTTTATTTTATTGTAGTATCTGGTAAAGGTTTTTTGGAAAGGCGGAGACATTTATTCAAGAAAATTCGACTAATACTATCAGAGAGTGTGAGAAGAATGGGGTTTTGTTTGTTGTGAAAATTGCTGGAGAAAGTATTGATTTATGTAGGTAGATCATACTTTCAGCATTTGAGAAGTGTCATGTCCCCACAATTTATGATCTTGATTGAAATCCAGAGCTAACCGTTACAATTGCAGCAAATTTAAATTATAAATCATCATACAAAGTTATCTGATTTATAAAAAACGTAATGAAATAAAGAGTACATCGGAGTTTTCGGAATGCTGCAAGTACTCACAATCTATCACCAAACTCTGCCATTATTAAAATGAACAATTTTCCCCACACGTTTTTGTTGTGCGAGTCATTTCAAGAGTAAAGCGCAATCTCTGGAATGTACCTGAGCAGCATGACGCAGGCCGCGACAATGCTGTAAGCGAGCAGCGTGCCAATGGCCATCATGTTCGCCAGCTGGTCCAGGTCGAACAGCATTGCCATCATTGCTGCAACGGACACAACGCTCTTTGGGGGTAAATGCGATACTTTAATACTAAATGCAATGTTTGTTAGAGTTACGCTTACTATCGATATGTTCTTTGTGTGGTACTCTGTACTACAATACCGACTGACATTCAAATACGAGGCAAAACATTTGAAGTTTCATGCATTTTAAGTAAAACTGAAAGTCTGTCTGAAACATTTTAAATTAATTTATTAATTGTTATAATCCATGTTTATTTTCTATAACATGTTTAGTTTTGTCGATATAAGAAGCAAGAATATTACACTATCTTCGGGAAATAACATTTCTTGCATTAATGACAATTCTAGTTATATACTGCATGCATTAAAAATGCCTAAGAAATCACAGATTGACAAAGCCCTGACAGTTAGGTTTTTCGGCTAGTTTCCCTTGATTGATTGATTGATTGATGAAATGCCGAGATTGCCTCTTTTTTACTTCCTGGGGACATACTTTTAGATTCAATTAGGCGCACATTTATTTGAGCTCTCTTTACTAGTTGCAGTAGAAGTAGAGTTATTGCAGTAGTTTGGTTGCTACATTGTTACCAAATATCATAAAATCAAATCTGTAGTTCATTTACAGATTCATGTAAGTTTTGTACTGCTTGGGAGATAATTTTTATTTTTAAAATTCAACCATACTTTGTTGGAGCTTTATTACTAATTCAACCATGTACACGAAAAAGGTAATATAGAGTTTCTGAAGCTCAAGAAAACGTGCGCAGATTATGTACTTGTCCCTCACACTGTTTATGGCCGAAAATGAAAGAAAGGAGACCGACCTGTGAAGGTGCCGGAGACGAGAGTGGCGACGAACGGTGTCTGGAAGCGCGCGTGGATGCGGCCCAGAAACGCAAACATCAGCCCGTCCGACGACATGGCGTAGATGATGCGCGGCAGCGGGTACAGCGCCCCCATCAGGCTGCGCACACGCACACGCGCTCAGTCGGAGAGCCGCGAAACTCGCAGGCAGGTTAGGAGGGCGCGCTTGGGAGCGAGCGCGAGGGGCGGAGTTTTTAAAATACCGGTAGCCACATCGAAATTTCCGACCACGTAACTTATACGGTCTCAAAATAAATGATACAAATTTCAGGGCTTATTGGGGGGGGGGGACGTTTTGTAAACCAATATGTGATGAGAAATTTAATATAACTAAGTTACCTATAAGACATTTACTCTCGATTGGTAGACAACTCATTACGCACTGGCATTTTAAAGGTCATTATCTCACGCAGTCACGCATTTATTACAATGAATATATATTTTTTGTATTTGCGGAACGCCAGTGCACGATTTGCCTTTAGCAAACCGTCAAGAAACGCGTAAGAAGTTTTAAATTAAGTTGATGTAAGTATTGAAGTTGTACTGAATGTTTTCGGATAGTGCAAAACGCTCGTTCGTCTCGAATGATCCCCTCACGATTTCAATGACACACTGTCTGAAAGAAACTGCTTATTTCAGTACCTTGAGAAGAGGCCGAAAACCGCCCCTACAGAGACGATCCACTTGGCAACGGGCCAGCCCAGCTCAGAGTACACGTGGGGCAGCGGGGTCTTGTCGTGCTGTAAAGGGAACGCAACGTACTCTTCACTCTCAAAATATTGAAAAAGTTAAGCCAATTTTTTTCCAAAAGAAGTTTAAAATACACAAAGATTTAAACAAAATTGGATTTGAATAGGTAGAATTGGACTTGAAAAGGTAGTTTTAATTTATGTTTGTTGCTATTAAAAGGAGAAACACATCTTTCGAAATTAACCGACGATTAGGAAATTCATAATATAAGAAATTCATACAGACTAAATTCGAAATTAGTATTTGGGAAGAATGCAAGTAGAACCTGCGACTCACCTGCAAGTAGTAAGGCCACATGAGTGTGAGCACAGCCGAGACGCCGAAGTAGGCGAGGAAGACTATGAAGAGCGAGGCAATGATCGCGATTGGAATGGAGCGCTGAGGGTTCTTCGCCTCTTCCCCTACAAACAAAAGACAAGAAAATCACAACCGCTCTTCCCTCTCCCTCGCCTCCCACACACGTTTGCGGGTTCAAACATGATCGAAGCCGTGGGATTTTAAAAGCGAAACCATTCTTCGTACGCCTTTCTTTCGGGAAAACAAATCCGGCCTTCCCGTGTTTTAGAATTACTGAACGTAAAATATAATCAAGCCTAAAAGAAGCTTCTGAGCTAAATTCAAATCGTCTGATTTGTCGTCCGAGTGTTACCTTTTTTCTCTGCTAGATGATGAAAGGAGCGCAGCGAAATTTGCGTGATAGGACTGAAGAGCAGCCCTGATGGCCCGAGTCTCACAACGTAAAATAAGTTATCATTGAATTGAGTGAAACTCTCCCTTCTGAATTGAGTTTTGTGGAGAGAAACTAATCTACATTTATCCTTCTTTCCCGTTCATCCTACCCTATCCCTTTCCATCCCTCCACGACTCCCTCGGCTTCGTCACTGGGAAAGGCGCGCGCCGGAGTGCGTGGGAGGCGGTTACCTGTGGTGGCGACGCAGTCGAAGCCGATGAAAGCGTAGAAGCAGGTGGCCGCGCCCTTCAGCATGCCGCCGAGGCCGAACGGGAAGAAGCCACCCTGCCCCACGTTGGCGCCCTCCGGGATGTTGGGGTCGTCGGGGTCCACACGCCAGTTGGCACCGTCCGCTGCAAGCACACACGGCGTCTCCAATGTCCCGAACTTCCATTTGCTATAGCTATTTACCCGAAAATATGTATAGATAGTGGAAGATCTTGGGAGGAATTTATCCGAGTCACGACATTCCATGACAACAACATTGTCCCAACAAATCTATACGATTCTGCAAAAATGTGCACTCTATAATGGTTATCACAGCTATAAATAAACTGTGCAGTGATCCGTATATATAATTATTCACTTTTAACTATACAACACATCAATACAAAACACAAACTGTTTTTGGTCGAAATAAATCTTGCATCACTTTCTATTCTCTGCCGTCGTCAATCAAAAGAAATATGTCAAATTCACCCAAGGCCAACCATGCTCATGACCAAGCGTGGTGTGCAGAGATATTCGTCAGGGCTGTGAGTTTGCACTTCTTCCACCACGTCACACACAACCACACCGGTGAATGAAAATAGACGAAATCACTAAAAATAGTTTGAGAGGACGTGAACTATTATCTGCTTTAAGAAAAATATTTTTCGGTGTTGCTTAAATAAATATCTAAAACGATAAACCTGCAAGATAGTTTATAAAATTGAACTTGATAAGATTGAAGTTTTTACAGAGTCATTTCTACAGAATACACAAGGGATTTTTCATGTTTTTGCAATACTGTTTCTGGTAATTTTAGTATGCGCGGAATTTACAATCGAATATTTTGAAATGAACGTCCGTTTGATTTATTTGCTGGTATAATTGCTTGTTTGCTTGCTTGCCAATTCTTACCTTTGAAAGCTCCAGTAATTATGACGTAAGTAACAACGGAGAGGTTCAGCACTGTAAATATATTGTTTAATGTGGATGATTCTTTAGCACCAAACGCTAGGGCACCTGAAATTACACCAAAAATGCAAATATTACTCACTGGTTAATTGTAAATCATTCCCTTGAAATCGACATAATAAATTGTGTTATAAAATCAAGTATAAACGTTTTAGATATCATTGGAAAATAACTTACATGTAAATAACAGACAGAGACCGAATGCAAAGAAATCAGGATATTCTGCCAAATACGACACATTTATGACCATCACCGACTTTATAGCATCGCTGATGACTGAATCAATAAGTGCATCGATGTAAGCACTCAAAGCTCGAACCACACTGGCCGCCCCTAGAAGAAAGATATTAACATTGAAGTAATGATTCTAATATTGTACATGATGCATTCCGAAGCTCGCTGCCTGAAGGGCATTTATATGAAGAGACGTCCAAGTCAACTTCTCATTTTGTGCAGAATCAGGGGTCTAATACCAGTGAGCTTTATAAGGATGTTGAAAGTACTTTCAATTCAGAAAAATGTTTAAAAATAAATAGTTAAGATTGTTTGATGAGTCTCTCATATTGTTTATTTTTCATGAAGATTCTTCGTCATTAATTTTTTATTTAGTCCATCAAATTCTACGAACAATATGAAAGTTTATGCATAGCCACTTATAATACTTCCTTGAACAAATCTTTAATTATCTTCGAGTTTATATACAAGTAAATTTGATGTTTTGTCTTTATGTGACAGACAAATCATTTGCATCTGAAATAACATTTCATTTGGCAGTGGAAACGTTCAAAGCAAAGTCGCGGGTCTGGGAGAGTAGCACGTATCATATTTTGAGTAAAATGACTACGATATCAACTTTTATTCAATTATTTTAATGGGTTTGAAGAGTGGCATTTTCCACTGACTTTTAAAGACTTCAAATAAATGTTTACACCTGTTTTTTATCTGCTGGTCGATGGTGTATTTGAGCTCCAGAATACATAAATACGTCTTACACTCCTAACTTATATAAACACTCGACTCGATCTACAAAATGACTCCCTACTCAGAAAATTACCACATGAAACTTCCCTAAATTATGAGCTTTAAATATTATCTGGATTAAATATTAAGGCATTTTCTGAATTTGACATTTTTCAAGAATATACATTATTGAAAAAATGCAAATATCAGTACTTTTTAAATTGTTTAAAAAGTGAAAATAGTTTAAATTGCCAAGAATTGATCTCCACTGGCAATTTAGATAATAGCTAACTGTCGTCAAATATATCAAAAATTAATTTTTTTAAATCTTTGGAGATTTTGCACGGTTCTTGATAGCTTCTGATTCAGAGTGGGGATACTCAGAAAAAACTAATTTAAAAAAGTGATTGACGTTCAAGTAAAATATCATTTTGTAGAATAAAATTAGTAAATGTAGTTTAAGTACTCAAAGAGATCCCAAAAACCGGAGTTCAAGGTGCATAGAACGCACCATTTACGTACTTACGTATGATGGGATGTTTGTAGCAGATTAACTGATTTACTAATGCATATGCACTATCTAAATTATTGCGTATATGTCACCAAAATTCAAACATCTTTCGCTTCAAATTTCTTCCTCATTTTATTATACTTATAAGCGATAATTACAACTTTAATAAGGAATTGACCACTTAAACCCACAACTCAAAAAACTGAAGATAACGTTATCGCACCCGATTCAATCTGGTTGCTACCTGCGATCTCTTGTAAAGCTTCAAGATCAAATACTGGGAAAGGAATGTATTGCACATGGCACGATTTCCTCGGAAGATAAGAGACGCGCGGATTGCTTACCGATATGTACTCCAGGATGAGGTTCCAGCCGATAAAGAAGGCCAGGAACTCCCCCACGGTGAACGTAGCTGTACACGTAGGCGAAACCAGCCCTCGGCACCCGCGCGCCGAACTCCGCGTAGCACAGCCCTGCGCACCACACACAGCTTTAGGCAAGGGCACGCACACCAACATTTTTATTTTTCCCATTTCGTTATTTAACTAATTATTTATCTATTTATGCAATTTGGATTTTTTGCGGGGTTCATCAACTGCTGGGGTCTTTCAGACTAAGAGTTAACAATGCATTAAGATTTGATATTAGTGAGTGAATGAAGGAGCAAGTGCAACAGGAGGACCACAGAATATCTTGACGAAGAGCTCACTTTGTCCACACAGATTGGCGGGAGATCGAACGGGGGTGCGCTGGCCATTACGTCACGAGTACTATTAAAACGTTAAAATGTGTACTACTCACTACCTGTTGACTACCTTTTCTAAATGAATACTTTTAAAATTGTCGGGATACATTAAGGCATTGTGTAGTTAATTGAAAAAAATATTTTACATGGTAGATTATTTACAAATACGTGGAATACTTTAGTTTACTTTATCTGTCACGTGACAAAATGTGGATGATGGGGCTCACAGATTTATCCAATTCTGAGTCAATCATGTATTATAACACTTTCGCCCATCCATGAAAAAACATTATCACTCGCGCATGATCTATCTGGGGAGTTGCAACTAAAACTTCGCATTCAGAATTTCAAGATCACTTCCAAGAATAGGAGGAAAGCATCTTGGCGCATTTTTAAGGGCCAGTTACATCTTTATTTCTTCAATCAAATGCATGGATTACAAATCGCAGATTGTTGGCGAACATTTTGTCTAATTCAATTGCATTTTGTCCTGGGCAGATTGGTGAATTTAGTAAAACAATTCGCTGATTTGTACTTTGGCAATTCTTTAACTTCTCCCTTAAATTAAATGCGATGTACAATAACAGCCCTTATTACCAATCAGGATCCAAAGCGTTATAGGAAAAAAATCTACATAGTTCTTTGAAATTTCTTCATATTCTTCTCATTTTTAGTTTTGTTTTTATTTCGGACTTCAAAAACCATTGCGTTTAAAATTCTAATTGTAAGTCTAACTCAAGGCTGAGATGCCAAGATTCTCGAATTATAGAAGGAGCTTTCGACGAACATTGATATGACTATCAAGTACGTTTGCATCCATTTTAGTCACACTTTACGTTCGACCAGTCGAGAGGGAGTGCACGCCTCGGAATAAAAGTAAGACTACGTGCCCTTGACACTGCCAAGACGTATTGCTTATCTATTCTATCTGAAACTGTAGTAATAAAAGTCTACAAATTCCGAGCATGAATAGTATAAACAATACTGAACTACTTTCAATTTAACATTTTTTAAAAATATAGTACACGTCTAATTTACGTAGCGGTGCAAGATTCAATATATCAAACATAGTATTCCAGTATATGAAACAAAATCTGTAATAAAATTCTTTGATTTGGGAAAGGAGAATAGTCATTAAAGTATCACCATTGAAACTGTATTATAGGTATTCTTATTTCTTTTACCGTGATCAATTGTATGAAGAACAAAAGCTAGCGTGAGCCGACAACATTTGGTAACCAAACGAGATTTTGCTTCTGTGTAATAGCGAAGTAAGAATTTGGTGTTTCGAGTGCTGCATGAATGTCAATATCCTCGTATCCTGCAATCCGAGAGCTCAAGAAAACTAAGACCTAAAAGTTATAAGCACGCATTTACTTTTTTCCATGAATGTCATTATGACGAGGCCCTATCATATGACACTTTTATATGTTCATTGAAGCGTATCTTATTGTCTTACATTTTTTACAGCCTTTATGTAAAATAATTCGTCATACTAGTTCCTGCACGGTATCGAGTTTCACAAAAACAATGCTGCAATTTCCACTCTTTTGAAATGTTTCAAGTGGATAGGAATTAGACTGAAATTAATTCCGACATCATAATATGTTCTATTAAACTTAAAATGAAGTGAATCGAAAAGTTTTTCGTTTAAAAGAGTCAAAGAATACACATTTTAATTTTCTTAATTTCAAAAGAGATTGAATACGCGGAATTAATATTAATTTAATTAGAAAATAGTGTTAACACATTTGAAGCAGGAAAATGACAGTGCTGCCGGTCTTTGATGTTCCTCGGTGATTTCAATGCGGGGTACGAAAGGAAAACGTAAATGTCTTCAATATCTATGTTCGTTTAATTTAGCGGTTCAGAACATTCACTGAGATAGTGATTCGACTAACTTTGGAGCTCTATGGACATACAGGAATAGTCAGCGCTCATTACAAATTATTGTAAAATGCACGTCTATTTGGTAAATCATACAGCATACAACTCATTTTCGAGTTATTAGTTAGTTTTACACCAATAGTAAAACATCGCCATTAAAAAGAACACCGTTCTTTGCGTTATTGCAGTTAAAATACTTTTTCAGTTTGCTTTCAAATACCACCAACTCCAGTCTTTAATAAATAAAAGCTCTATGTTTATCAACTATTAATAGTAATATTTCCTTTTGATAATGGTAAGAGAAGTCTTTTCTTTGGCAAATGGAAGTATACAAATCGAATGGAGGTTAACTTCCATATTTATAAGATCTTGCGCTCAGCGTATCACCAAAAGAAACGTGCCTTTCACTGGTAAAACAAATCTTGGAAATGACAGGATATTGGCGGTTTAAACAGCATACCACTTGAAATGGGTCGTGCTCTTTTGTATGCAGAAAGCACCTTTCCATTTGGCAATGAACAGAACGTATGACTCTTCGTTATTAAATTATTGAAGGAAGGAATGAAAGTTACGTAATTTGATTTCTAATCTGAAGATCTCACAGAGTCGTGAAAGTAAACACGGCTTGAATTCCGAGCAATAAAATCCAAGGTTGCCACATTCAAGAAATTCCAATTCAAGGTTTACTGCAGAAAATTGAATGACAATTTGTTTTTTCTGTATTCAAAACGACTGAAAATAATACTGCGAGTTTAATATCTTATGTTAATGGTAAGGTAATTTGTATGATTTTAATAGTGGTACACAAAGTATTAAAAGAGGAAGCTCTTCAATTGCGAAGGTAGCATTGCAGGATGCGGATAATCTTCAGTCCTGAATGCCGAGCTCCTCTACTTTGTTGTACTTCCGTCTCAAATGAAGTAATAACTATAAAATTTGAATTTCCCAATCCCCTTCAAAGTGAGAACACTACGAGGAAGACGTTACAGAGGAAGGGCATTGTGTCACCTCAAATTTACCACAGAAGAAAGCTTCAACGAATAAATTTTACCACTAGCAAATAAACGATTTTTGAAATTATTAAAGTGAAATAAAACCTGTACTTCCAAACAAAGACATTTCAATTAAAAGGAAAATTTGTATTCGAATTAATAAAAAACTTAATAGGATCAAAAATAAACCTTCCGAGGTTTTGGGGGTTTTCTTATTGCCGTTTTACTGAAAAAATAGATGCAAAGAACAGTAATAATAAATACCAAAAAGGAATTTGATAAGTCATTGTTTGCGTCGATCTTTTAAGAAAAACGGGAATGCCATGCAGGCATTAACACATTAACACAAGAACGGAGGTAACAGCGCATGGGTCGATGAAACTAATTGGGGCGCAAAAAAAAATCTGGCAAGAGACAGAAGGAGTAGAGGCTGCATTTGTAAAACACTGTCAGCCGACAGATCACTAACGTCTCTTCAGAATGTTGTGTACCGTGATAGATTTTGAAAGCCTTGCTCCTCCAAATCAGCATCAATTTTCTCATTTAAGCATCAGGTATTAGTTTTAAGATGAGTAAATAATTTTACGAAGCCCAGTATTTATTTGGATCGAAACATTATGAAAAATGTGATGTAAGTGTTCTGACATAACTTTGTGGTTAGCAGATTAATCGTGTGAAATGTCGGGTAATAGCTAAACTTAACCTTGGGCACTGATATTGTGCGGGCTACAAGAAGGGTAGAGGGGGCTGCAACATGATTGAAGGCGTTTTTGGCATCAAATCTGTGTTGTACATTTGCTTTGACCAGACTATGAAAGTTTGCGGAATATGAGCTGCTTCAGTCAAATATTCGTTTCGGTACAAGTAATACCACATCACAGGGGCAATATAATTCGCCTTAACAGTACACCGCAATTACATGACCTAAGATGCATATTCTGGTGGAGGGCGCCAAGTTAACTTAAATATGTCGTTGAGATGAGAATTCACAGTGGACAGCAGGTTGTAAAATAGCAATTTTCTTTGGGGGAAGGGGAGGGTTAAACTACTGGGAGGGATAAATTTACGAATTGACAAGGAAAACTCAGACCATCTTCGCTTACAAAGCATAGGTTTAATAATTCCTAAAATTACTCACCTTTCCCTATTTCCTCTATTTGGTTTCGTTGGTACGAACGTTTCGAGAGGTGAAAATTATTTGAGAGTCCTCTAGATTTAGGTTAATAGTGCCTCTGATATGGAGATAAAGGGAATTTACCGGCAAAGGTGGCTCAGGGCATCAACTGATGTCACTGCAGTGCCTCTGATCTGGAGGCCCTAGGGTTCGAGACAGTGGCAGAACTTTCGACCCTAGGTTGACAGTTCGAATTCAGCCTGTGTCTGGAGGACACTTCTAGCGGACGGCTGCTCTGATGGGTAGTTTCCCATGATTTCTTCGATAAACACCAGGTAAATGCAGAAGCATTACTCTTACAAGTGGGCCACGGACCTTTCGTACATTCCTTCCTATTCCGTACCCCAAACGTACACACTCAATCACATGCACTACACTGCCACACATGTAGGGAGATCAGTCGGGAGCTTGTCCAGGTTGGAACTGTGTCACGCTGATAGGATATATCAGGTTGGGGGAAATCCGCGAGATCAAGATCACACCCACCTTCCGCGATAAAAAGACATTACACTTACGGGACCAATGACGTGAACAGTTGACGCGCCTTGATACACGAATAAATCAAAGGAGATTACCGCACGCCTCTTCTGCCCCCGAAGGCGGAGCGAAGCGGTCGCACTTACCGGCCAGCACGGAGGCGATGGCGGCCACCAGGAAGCTGAGCACGACGGACGGCCCGGCGTCGTCACGCGACACGAAGCCCGCCAGCACGTACACGCCCACGCCGAGCGTGCTGCCCACGCCCAGCGCCGTCAGGTCGAGCGTGCTCAGCACGCGCGCCATGCCGCCGCCGCCGGTCGCCTTCATCGGCTTGCGCCGCGTCAGCGCCGCAAACGCCTTACGCACGCCCATGGCCCACGCCTGCACACGCGCGCGCCGCCCCATTGCCTCTGCCCTCCGACCTGCCGCGCTGCGCCTGCCGTCCCGGTAGCTGCCGCCCCGGCGCCAGCGCCGCCGCGCGGCCGCCGACGCCACTACGCCGCCGCGCAC